TAGTGTCTTTTTCTATATTTTTAATCGAGTCTGGGAGTTTGTTAAAAATTTCATCTCATCAACGTTACAACTTACAACGTAAGTGCCATTTTTTTGAAATAAAAGTAAGGGTGACAAACGAACACAGTTAGGAAAGTGGATACCGCAGTCGTTGTCCATAGATACCTTTAACTTATATCGGTTTAAATTTAAAACGTGAAAGTAAAACACCACTGAGGATTACGAATTACGATGCCGGTCTCGTTACCAGTAAAAAGAAAAGGAAAACCTTTTTCTGGATCTCGTCACGGAATATATGGAGCACAGAAGTGCTATTTTACGGTGCGGTTGTAGACCCTTAACTAGCCAAGCCTTCTTATTTGTCATGCAGCCCTAATATAGCTATCAGGTACTAAACCAGGCAATAAAACCGTAATTATTAATTACGCAAAGTCGCACTTTGTCGCATTACGTTCTATCCTTAGAGTATAGATAAGCATAGCTTACGTATGTATACTCTAAGGTTGTATCGCGTAGCACTGCCGTTTTTACAGCACGTGATACAAATCTTCTACATCCCTAGCCCTACATACCTACGACGCTGTGGAAACGGCATCTTTACGCAGGATGGTTTTTTTAGAAATGTATTACCATTAATGCATTAAAGTCTGTACAAGACTTTTAATAATTTAATGAATTATTAATTATTTTGTCTTGACTGTGTTGGGACCCTAAATTTTCTCAATAGTAAAAAGGTTCTTATAGTGCTTTTGTACCTCAAAATTAGTAAAAATACAGCTCTAAAATAATTGTCGGTAGCGTCGTACTACTTCTAAAACCGTTATAAATTTATAATAGGTGTAGTAGACGTCTAAGGCTTTTGTTAAGTCGCCATTACATGGCGGTATTTGATGAATTATGTATGTCAATAAAATAATCACTTTTCTTATGTTATAGAGAATAGACACTTTTCACAATAAATAAAACCTTTTGCATTTCATACCCCACAAGTTCCAATAATTTAATCGAAAAGATACTGCAAAATCAACCTTAAAATTTCAATGCACTTTGATAAATTACAGCAATTTTCACACGTTTCGTGTCGCATGAAAGATTTAGCTCAATTAATGCATATTTTGACCGAAAACTGATGCTCGCACTAATATTTTACGTAAAGAAAGGAAATTAAATAGTTATCTTACTTTACACTAATCAACTTTTTGTTTAAATATTCAACACCATAACAAATCACGATCAATTTGAAATAATATTAATTTGTCATTTATGTTCTGTTAATATAATACTTACACATAAACATAACAAACATAAACACTAACGTCTGTCACCCAGAGGGGTAGGCAGAGACTACAGACTTCCATTTAGCACGATCCTGACATACCTTTCTCGCCTCTTCCACATCCATATACCTACGCATACATGCTCGTCGGTTAAGGGTACTCTTAATTTGGCCCATTTTTAGTATATCGCCAATTTGGTCGACAAACTTCCGCCTAGGACGTCCCTTTCCGACTCTTTCATTCACTTCTGCAACATATATTTGCTTTGTCAGTCTTTCCGCATTCATTCTTTCTACATGACCAAACCACCGAAGCATTCCTTTCTTAATCCTGGTCACCGCATCATCTTGCAAACCACACTCTTCTTTTATCACACAGTTTCTGTCACTCACCCTGTCACTCAGATTCAGCCCTAACATACTCCTTAGCGACCGCATTTCTACTGCATTTATTCTACTCTCGTGCTTCTTCTGCCACACCCAACTTTCACTACCATACGTTAAAGTAGGGACTAATAAAGCACTGTGAATTGCCATACGTGCCTTTTTTGACACATTCTGACTTTTCACAATAGAGTGTAGAGCCCCATTTACTTTATTTCCTGCATTCACTCGTCGTTCAATATCCTTATCATATCTCCCATCCCTGCTGAATACACATCCCAAATATACGAACTCATCCACTTGCTCAATTAACTCTCCTTCTATTCTTATTTCACATACCGTTTTGCTTTCTTCTCTTTCAAAAACCATCACTTTCGTCTTACTTACTACCCTTTCATTCCTCTTTCTTTTAATGACCTGTTCATTAATGTAACCATCATTTGCAACTCGGCCGCCGACGACGCAAGTATGACTTGATCATCGGCGTACAAAAGGCATTTGATGGTTAACTCACCCATTCTTAACCCGCATTCTTCAACTTTCAAATTTTCCAAACAGCTGTCCATAAATAGGCTGAACAGCCACGGGGAAGCTACACAGCCCTGTCTGACACCTTTATGGATGTCAAACCAGTCCGAGTAGACCCCGTTGATTCTAACACAAGCACTCGAGTCCCTATACAGAGACTTTAATGCCTGTATCAAACCAGCGCTCAACCTAAATGCGTTCAGCTTTTGCCATAACACATCCCTGTCCACTCTGTTATAAGCCTTTTCCATGTCCATGAACGCACAAAAAACTTTTTGGTTTTTCGCCAAAAACTTCTCCATATAATACTTATGTAGATATATTATTTTTTTAAAATACTCCTAAGATTTAGTTGAGTTACAGTGGCTTCGCAATCACGTGCAAAATCTATAAAATGGCGGCACAAGAACTTCTTGTATATCTTTTAGCTCCAAAAATCATATTTCACGCACCTTTGTATCGCTTTACAAACAACATGCCGCTATCATACCGCTACTGTAGCACTTAAGGTTGTGTAAAGTGAGCCCATTTCAGTGGCATAGAAGCGATTCAGAAGTTCTCTATCGCTACTGTAGCGCTTATGAAGGTGTCCCTGCTATGAAGGTATGCGGCTACTGTAGGGCTTTGTTATACGACTTGCTGCTTGGAGACTACCTACTTTCATTAGAATTTAAATTATAACATCATAATATTAAGTTATGATTATTATTCTTCACCTAAAAACCTTTTGCCGTGCCGACACAGCAGTGCTACGCCGGGTCCGGGATAACGCCTATAACGCCATTTACGAAGACAATGAGATTCTTCTGGCTTCCTGGCATTCTTTCAATATGTTACAATATAATTCATAATTAAAAAATATTTTACTTTGTTGTATTTTACGAAATAAAAAACATGAATAAAGAACCTTTAACTTATTTATGCAGCAGTGTTCATTTTGTTCTACGGTAGTTGCACAAACTTAAAAAATAACCGCTTCAAATGATTTTTCCTGACGTATTTTACGTAATATATTAAAAATAATAATGCCAGAGTAAGTTTTATAAAAAAAATTTGCACTATTAACTAATATAACTATGAAAACATAAAAAACGTTTTTATAAACAAAATAAAGATGGCTGCGTCAACACTACCTCACAGTATTAATGTAAATATTAACACTTTGCTACTAGGCTACATGACACAAACTTAGCTTCACTTTGCTTTATTATAATACATAAATATTTCAAATCTTTAAAAGGTATAGGCAATAAGTACTGTGCTCTAACAGATTGATTATATGAATATGATTGATTATATATATATATATATATATATATATATATATATATATATATATATATATATATATATATATAAAGTAATGATAACTTACCCCTTTTACGCGTGATGCAAAAACAAGATAGCATTTCTCAGACTTTTTCTTTTTTCACGAATACATCATTACAGAGGCGGGAGAGACATTTAACTTTCAGTGCAATTACTTGAACACTGAACGCAGAATAACACGCGTTACCCGCAAGTTACCGATATTACACCGCTCCGGGACACACACGTGCTTATCAGTTGACTTGTGCTGAAGTGTGTGTAATTGTGTATATTCTACAGTAAATATTCATTCTCCACATTCGTAAGTTTAAAAGAGCACACTTAGCATACTAAATTGTCGCCGATGGCGCTAACTAATTCAAGGACAGGAGACAAAATGATTGGAATTGACAATACTCGTCTTGACCTTGTCCAGACCTAAATTGATATTAGCATAACACGATACGGCTAAATTGGTTTTCCTGATTTAAGTCTTGAATCTTCGTTAACTTAAAACATACTTTTAAGTTAAATCGCTAAACAACAAACGACAGGAAAAATTTTGTAATAATTATCTTATAAAGTTTATCATCATCCATTAATGAAAATATTGAAATCTATTTGCACATACTCAGTAGTAGAACTTAGTCAAAAATCCATTTTAATCTTTCGTAGAATTAATAGTAGAACTAGTCGGATAAGCCCAATAAATACTCCGCTTTAAAGGATTTTTCCAACGTTCCCCTGCTTTTAAATTAGTCCCATTTATAGGACACGAAAAAGTGAATAGTTCCACATCCTTTAATTTAGTTGGAGCACATAATATTTAATTTTAGCTATATTTCATATTTTATGATAAGATACTTTAACGAAAGCTAAATAAACAAGATGAAAAATGAACGCGATAGGAAACATCCACCCTACGCCTAAAATAAATTTATAGGCCTTTTAAAATCACTTCAAATGGAGCTTGTTATTAAAATATTAAGCAGCTGTGTGTCTCGAATAGGGTGAGCGCTATTTGAAAGAAAAAACTGTCAGCCCCAGCTGCACATTGCGTGAAGAAACGCAACTGAATAGCATTCCGATGTGAATAAGAAATATGATTTGCGCGCGAAATTCGAACCTGAATAAACATCGACGTGAATATTTTATCTATTCTTAAATAATAAATACATACTCTTAAAATGAAAAAAAAATATGTTTATTCTTCTAAGAAAAACTATGAAAACTAAAGATGTATAACAATAATTTGATAGTAATGTTAGGTTAAAAAAATATAAAGTTAGTTTAATATTGAAACAATAATATTTAGAAACCACAATAAAAGTATAATACTTTCATATACCTTTTTTATACCTTTAATAAATTGAAAACAGATACATAACATTGCCACTATACGGAGTCTATAAAATATACCAATAATAGTAGTAGCAGTTATATGTGTGTCTGTCATAAATTTCATAGGAAATAGAGCAATATAGAATGGAATGGATATACTGACCTTTCTTGGAACCAAACAGTGATTTGAGTTTCGATATCGTCCGCTTCTTCATTTTATTAGAAGGAAAAAAATCCGAACCACTAAACTGTTGTATACATCGACGCACAACTGACAGAAATACACTCAACACAACGTCCTCAAGTTTTTCAGGCAGTCATGGCTTTTTGCTCCTTTTGCCGCTCTTATTTCCGTACTACGAAAATAGGCTCAGCGTTACACTTACACCGGCGCTGGCGCATCAGTCATAAACGTATACATTAGGTTCCTAATCAGATCACTATGTTTATTAATGTAAGCGATTATGAAACTGTAACAACTAAATAGATACTATACACTATTACACTAGCATATAAAATGCCAATAGCATTAACCTTTTTTATCTAGTCCGACGCTTCGTTTATCGCTCGTAGCTTATGTCAAAGTAAACGTTCAACGATAACAAAAAAATCACATGTAGTAAAACATACACATACACACAACAAAATACACGAGTTCGCGATACGAGTCTCAGGAGAATACTGAACGAATAAAGGACCAGTTGACCTTAAAATATTCTTAATGAGATGAGATTAGGAAATAAATAAATTTGAGCGTACCGGCCGCAACAATCCCAAAGGATGCCACGAGTTGCGATTACACAATTAGGGTGACCGTTTATGTACAACAGTTCACGGAGTAAAGTGGCCCAGAGAAGCGGGAACGGCACTGGCGGCTATTCTGGGGCGTGCTATGGACGCAACTGAGCACGCATCGATACACGCACACGGCACAACGCACGAGAACTGGACTACATGGTCCATATACCATACCCATAAATCTCTTACAAAAATCGTTATGAAACCGCGAACCCTCTTCCGTTACCGTCTAACCGTGATCAAGCGGCGAAATAGAATGGATGCGATACATAGAAGATCTCGTTTAAACCGTGTCTCCGGCGCAGTGCTGACAACACCGGAGACAACGTATCCGATGCGTCCGTTTTTAAAATCGGCTTATCGAGTACCACTTTAGGAAAGAGTCCCGATTGGGAGAAAGATACGTATAAATAAAAAAGGTGCGAAGGAAACGTGCATAGAGACCCCAATAAGAGCGAGCGAGAACGAGTGTAACAAAAAAGAGAAAGGAATTTATAATTCTTTAACAATTTTGCGATAATTATACGACGGAACTGAAATATATTTAATTTAAAGAGTAAATATTTTTCTGAAGAGGTTTATGTAAAAATTGCTGATGAAATAAGTACATGTACACAATATTGTTTATAGTTTCAGGACCTTAAGGTTACCTATTTTTTGGAATTCTTGATCCTATATTTGACCCTACGGTTGTTAGTCGATAAAGGTAGAAACTATTAAGTATTACATTTACATTTTATTAGTTGTAACTGTTCAGTTTTTTATTAATTATTATAAATGCATTGGGTTGACTGGTAGAGAATGCCTTTGAGCATTGTCTGACTTTCGTATCGTTTTTTATAAGAAAACGCAATATAGATTGAAATGAAATAAATATTATTTAATCATAGAAATTAGGTAATCAGTGAAACAATTAGTTGGGCTAGTATTACATAGGTGTAAATTACACAATACACATATCACATTTATTATTTGTATGATTTACTTTTCTATTATTGGAACTGTTTACGCATCTTTCTTAAATACTTTTTTTTTAAATTGTATGTGAAGGATGAAGGCAAAGATATTTTATGGGTCTGAAGGTGGTTGTTTCAGGGCTCGACGTGCTGCACTTGTGCATTGTGCTGAAGGCTTTTTTCTCACAACGAAACAATTGATCAATCTCAGAGTTACAATTTCTTTGAACTGCAGGCAGTTAGTGGTGGCTCTAAAGATGTCAAGCGTTGTCAAAAATTCGCATTAGTTACTTGACATATTTTTATTATACCGAATCTGTAGGAAACATCACAAAAACATTTAGTAGGTACGTAAGTTTTCTCGCTTCACTTGAAAACTGGTTAAGGATGGCAGTATGCTTCTAAGAGGGTTCTGTTGTCGAAGTCCTGATAACTGCGACGTCGCTACAGCTTTAGAGTAAAACCCTCGATCTTTAAAACCATTTGAAGGTCATCTTGCGTCAAAAAATTATTATTGTCTTTATTCTTTGACACTCGTCATCGTTCTTCTAGTTGTAAAACGTCTTCATTAATACTACTTCAGCATACAAAATTTTATGGATGTCATTGTCATTGATTTCAAGTTCTACGAGTTCTTCACGCACCATAATCCGCAAATAAATTGTAAAGATAATACAGATAGGTACAATTGAAAATGACAAAGCAGTGGGTAAACTTTTTCTCGCAACTTGTTTCCCTTTACCACAAGGACCGGCTTTTTCGCTTATATTACTATCCAAAGCACGTTATTCACGTAATAGTTAAATAAAAGTGAACAATTCGGTTGGTGGTTGGTGAACAACCCGCCGTGATGCCGCAATAGCCAACCCATCGTGGTAACTATGGCATATTACTATGAATTCTGAGGCTATCTTTTGATTTTATACGTAGTAGAGCCAAGCTGCAGCTATATTATAGTTATAGCACGAATGGGTCGGTTCGACCGGGGATGGACCACGCTCTCACAGAACACCAGCGTAAAATAGCAGCTTAATACTGCTGTGTTTCGTATGGTGAGTGTGGAGATCCGGAGACCCTTTTTTGCTGGAAACGAGGCATTCCATCTTGGTCCTCAGAGGTGACAACGCATCTGCATTTTGATTCTTAATCGAGGATAAAAGTAGATGTCCATGGACCACAGCATCCACTTGCCATCAGATGGACTGTGTGCTCGTTTGTTGCCCTTATTCTATAAAAAGGTGGCCTACGTTCAGCAGTGGATTATGATAGGTTATAATCTTTGAATATTAAAATTGTCAAAAATGTTTACATACCTTACGAGAATCACATCATACTGTAAAACCAGACGAACACTTTTTCACTTGTTTTAACTTTTGAAAATCAATGACAAAGGCGAAAACTGCGAATTAATCGGTGACGTGTTTTGAGTGTCAAGTTACTTTGACAATGACACTTCCTGCTTGTATTTCTTTGATAACAAAAACTATATGAATTATATAAAAATGATATTTGAACTCTGAGTAAATATGCGTAAAGACTATTATACCATTACGGATTTTGTACTGCAGAAATTTTCGTTTGTGTTCGATGCGGACGTAAATCTCATGTAAAAATCAAGTTAAGAAATAATAAATTCCACAGTTCTAAATTAATTTAAAAATGTAAAAAAATAAGGGGTAATACATAGATAAAAGACCAAAGAATAATATATTATGTCCCTCGATCGTTAGCGAGTTATTAGTATATTATGTACTTATATACCATTATCGATAGTTTTTAGATATAATTTAATTGAAAGTATGATCTGTTTAACATTTAAATCTTAAATGTAATATAATAAACATGAAAGATGCAATTAAATACATCATAATAAAGATAGCACAAATAGGTATTTATGATTTATCATTTTGTAACAGAGTACACAAGCTAAGTAAATACTTTTCTTGTGATGTACAAAACTCTTGTGTCACAGACGTGTTAGAATATTATTTAGGTTTCGATCACACTAAAACCACATATAACTATGTAGAATTAGATTTAAAATAAATGTTTTTATAATAACAATAAAAATCGCATTATAAGTTGGTGCTAAGACAAAGTGCATAGAATAAGAATTAAATCATCACATCACAATCAAAATTATTCTTCATTAATTTAGAAAGTGAAATTGTTTTATTCATTTTAGTTTTTTGAAGTTAGCTTTTACTTTTACTGAAAGTTATTTTTTAACCCCGCATTTTGCAACTCTAAGGGGTGGAATTTGTACTCCAAATTTATGTGGGACCACACCTGAAGTATAATCTATTAATATTAATAAGTATCATAACCGGTTCAAAACTGACGAAGACATCGCGTAACATTACACATACAAAATACAAAAAAAAATTATATAGTTCAATTGTAAACCTCCTCCTTTTTTGAAGTCGGGTAAAAATAAACAATTTTAAAGTTAATGAAATTGCCGGATAAAGTAACAGAAGACCATTGAACATGTCAATACGAATTTTAATAAGAGATCGCAGCCGGATGTAAAAGACGTTGCTTTATTGAAGCTCGTCTCTTTAGCTATTGATCATCATTGTTACAACCCTTTACAAGGCCATAGCGGGACATAGCCCTCCACTAAGTAACAGCAAAAAACACGATCCTAAGCCACCGGGTTTTCAGCGTTCGGGAGATTACTATTGTGACACATCTTCTCGACACGTATTCCACAACATTTGAAATCAAAAGTGTACATCTAGTACGTTTTGCCAGTTATAACAAGATGTGGTTTTTACTTGTTTTTATAGAATAAGGGTTACAAACGAGCACATAGTCCTCAATTAAAAATCAAAATAGAGATGCGTTGCCCAGTGCCCACCCTGAGGATAAGATGAAATGCTTCTTTTCCAGTAAAAAAGTTCTCCGGTTCTCTACACTCACGATACGAAACACAGCAGCATTAAGCTGCTATTTGACGTTGGTATTCCGTGAGGGCGTGGTCGTTCCCCGGTCGAGACGATCCATTCGTTGATGTCTTCTGTACGTACCTAAGTACGTGCAGGTATCGGGCCTCGGGGTATACCCCATTACCCGGATATCCTCATACCCCATAACTATGGGGCAGTCACTTGTTGCCTATCTTGGCGTGGTTATGCTGCATATATTATGTAGCCGGATAAGAATTTTTGCTTTCCGTAGTTCACCGACTACGGAAAGGGAGGTAATCTATAGAGGTTATCAAAGTCTAAGTTGGCCTTTCCTGCGGCATTGTGGGTTGTTACTCAACTCTCTAATCACATATAGAGAGGAGTTCTCTTGGAAGAGGTCGCCCGTCCGGTGGCCGGGTGTGTAACGGCGCAAAGCCGTTCAGGTGTTCATGTGGCCCGTTATCGGCACGGTCAAACATGCCGCGCGCTAACCGGGCCACGAAGTCGGTGATGGTCTCGACTTTCAGATCGGCCGCTATAACGTCATTC